TGAGAACTGCACCCGTTAAGACGGCAAGCCGAAGCGTGAAGCAGTTTTGACTTGACAAGCACAAGCGGCTCAAACGTTTGACTTACCCCCGAAGCGATCCAAGAAGTAACAGAACCGAGCGTAGGTCGTGTATGTGGTGACATAGCAGAATATCACATTTAAGCCAAAGAACTTGTTGCTCCACATTTGATTTTGGGCGCCCATACGAGTAAGCATCCCTAGTACGACCTAAATGTCACTTGCAGGCCATACAGCCAAAAGCAAAAAGCAAGTCCTGAAAGCCTGTTCTGAAAGCAGTCGAGCCGTGTCAGCGACGCAAGCCTGTTTTCCATTGATCAGTGCGGCTTGGTTATTCAGTAAGTGGCGGGAAAGGGGTTGGCGACGTGCCAGAACCCATGCGCCGCTGTCACGCCCTGACTGAAGGCACTGATAAAGACTGTACGTGTGAGCTCTGGACGCATTACATACGACACCAACCCTGGATTTCTTCTTCTTGAACGCGATCATCCTGCAGTACTTCGAGCGATTCAGAAGCCCCGGAATCCTCGCCGCGTAATGATGGAGACAAGTGCCCTTCTTCCACAGCAACTGAACTGTCAGAATTTATCACGGCAGTGTTGGGAACTTTGTAAGAACTCACCTTCGGATGTGGATCTGACGCTGTGTTGTTCCTGGAACAGTCGTTTTCACAAGAAAAGCTCAAAGCTTAGTTGCAATCAGCATTACCTGCGCAAACGCTGCCCATTTCTTTCGGCTACGACCAGGCATTTTCCTGCGACCGCGACTACAAATGAACCTCACCGCACTTTGTTGGCTGTATAATAAAAACAGTGATAAGTTTACTAACAGTAAGATAGGAGGTGAAAGGTTCTATGAAGCAAATATAGTGTAGTTCGCTGCGGACGGTTGGGCGTGTCAGTGCGGCTGCGCTGCGTTTGGCGCGGTGCCAGACTCGTTCTCCACCAGTTGTTGAAGCGGGCAAGTGACAATACTAGATCATATCCTTCGTATTACTAATTTTCTACTTCTTTTTGTTGCATGCGCGCGTTCAACGAGAAGGCAGAGAAAGGCTTTGACGGGTGACACACTCACACTGGCTGTACACACTGTCCTAAACGCGTCCGCAGCGGAAAACTAGAGTGTAGTGATCGCGGCTAGCCTGGCAAAAATCAAGGTCGATTAAGCAGTTGGCACGATAAATCCTCCAAGACGAGCAGGACTAATACGCCTGGCAGGACGGAATTCCGCGACCCTGAGCAGGCGCTGCATAATGCCTTTTCCAGGGAAGAAGCCCTTATAAGGGCGCTATCAAGCCACAACTTTACGTCCCAAACGCCCCCTTGCCCGCCCGCCCACAAATGGACGACTGTTCCAGACGCTCTAATTGATTCATTTGCTAAGCAAATTATGAAGCGAAGGCATTGGTATGAAGCGGCGGCGAGCTGGCAATGGATATATGAGTGCACTGTCTATGCAGTCCTGGCCTTCGGTAAGTGGTTATGTGGTCAGATACGCCTCGGGAACTCGTCCAAATCGCTTACTAATACGGCGAAGACGAAGGCTTTTTCGTAGGATTGACGTTTCACTCCTTTCTTTGCGGCAACCATTTCCGGCCACTATATAGCGCCCTACCTTAAAGCCCCCCAAATTTTTTTTAGGCGCGAGCACCCCATCATTCGTGCTAACTGGCCCTTAAAAAAGCAGGAGCAAAACTGCTTTCTTTGGCTAACTCATCAAAAGTTGCCGCGGATAAGTACGAAGGACACTCAGGCTGCTTCCATTCTTTCCGACTTGGACCACTGAGATGAGCATTTGGGGATCATGCGACTGACCACGCTCCACTACTAATCATTACTGCTGCAAAATCTGCAATCTCGTACAACTTTGGTACGGAGCTATGACCAAAGGCAGGTGCGATTCTGCTAACAGTTTACGAACCGACTCATCGAACGCTCTTGCTTGCTTTCTACTTGTGCAGAATGTATCGTTCCGTAAATAATGGCACGAGGTGGCATATTTTGGTTTTAAGATCACCGCTTGGTTGTACCCGTTGACCTTTTGGCGAACCGCATGCTGGTTGAGCACAATCCTTTGCTTGCAGCCATAGCTTTCTCTGGTACGAGACCACAGTTGATCTACATTTAGAAGGGCATACTTGTAGAGCGACTTGGACTTAGGATAGGTATCTCTCTCGCATGCAGGTGGTTATGACTTGGTGGGGGGTACTCAGTGAATTAACCGTACACTTGCTGGGACCTTACTCTCCAGCCGCTTTCTATGTGCCCTCTTGGGCCTCGACTATGTCATCCCATTTGGGGCGAGTAAACCTTTGGATCATCTATATAGAAGAGATGGTAGACCTCTATAGGTCCTTCTGGCAGCTTCAAAGCTCTAGTAGATTTTCTATACGGACCAACAATATTTCGCAGCAACAGCGATAAAGGAGCTATCACCATTCAAAAGAGAAGCGGACTGAGGGGATCACCAAACGTTAATCTCTGACCTCTCTACACGATTCACATTGTGACCAGTGTTGCTATTTTGACGGTCCGCAGTAACCTGACGCTTTCCTTAGACACAGTGAGCAAGAGCAAGCTCCTTGTAGAGGAGACCACTTGGTTCTCGCCAAGATCCACTTAATAGCGCCATGAGACACGGAGTCAAAGGGCTTCAGCTCGAAGTTTTCAGGCCAGTTTTAGTTGTGAGTATTGGCATAAAATGTATACTAAGTTTTTGCTTCTTAAGGCATCTTTGCAGATAGTCTGATCCAGAGCGCATGGGTGCAGCCACAGATTCCTTTGCGCAAGGCAACCTGCCCCGCACCTGAGGGAAGGCAAATCAACCGAGCACTCTGGGAATAGTGTTGCGCCATCATTGGTCATGGCAAGCTAAGACTTAGCATGTGCAAAATACTTAATGATCTGACGGGAGCCACCAGGCCCGCGAGCCTCGGCGCTCTTTTTTGGAATCAGAAATACCCCCTTTCTGGAATTTCCTCCCACCAAAAGCCCTGTATGCCGTAGGCAAATGTTGCTGGACTTGTTGTTTCGAAATGTTTGATCTGGGCAATGTTTTTTATTCAAAGTCCTCTCGGCAGCACAGCTTGGCTTTTCGCCTCTTTGCACGAACGGGCTAAACCACGCCTTTGAGATTCATCTGAGAGGATGGAAAGGTTGCGATTTTCCAGTTATAGGTTCTCAGTGCTCCTACACCTTCGCAACTGTTCAGTTTACTTTTTGCATGGCTATCTAGCTACAGCAGGTATCCCGCTGTTGTTCTTCACTGGCTGCCTTAAGGGCTTGCTCCTATTGGATTTATTGCCAGCGTTACAACCTTTACTGGTCCTCTGAATCTAATCTGGAGTCGTTGGACTATGAGATGATCCTGATTCAGCCTAGAGCTCGATATTCTGTCGGATTGTAATATTTGCTCCCGGGAAAATATGCCCAGAGTGTCCTATACAGGCTCGCCCGCCTTGAAATCCGAGGAATCCTCACCGCAGTGCTATGCCGGCATTGCTGAAGGCAAATGCGGGTATACTCGATTGTAATAGTAGAAATGCTCGATTATATGGTTTTTCTCTTCTTTCCGTGAGCCTAGCCGATCGAACATCGGCGATTTGTTCCGTTTCTGCTTTCCAGTTTTCAATCCGTTTCGCGCAGAATGGGCCCACCCGTAGATTTGCTGACACACTCCTTCATTGCCGCAATGTTCGCTCTTTAGAATTCGACGGTCGTCCTTAATGTTTCGATTTTCTCGGTTTCACTACCTGAAATCGCGGTTGCCGCAACAACCTCTTGCGAGCCTATGATGGCTTCTCCGCATGCGATTCGAGCTCGTGAGAGACGAGATTTCGCTGTTTTTGATGACCTCTAATAAGCTGATGAGGGACGTTTACGGGTATTACGAAATAGCAAGAAAGTCAAGTCCCTTACTGGTTTCTTCCCGGCACCGGATCTTCCGAGCGATGCTCATAAGTTTATAGGTGGAGAGTGTTAAAGCCTCAACCTGAGTGACGTCAGTGGTTCAGTTGCGTCTTCCTCTCGTATGCGTTTACTTCGCTTAGGTATCTGCGCGAAGTCTTTCCTTTGGCTTCGGCCAATCCACAGCGGATGAACAGAATAAGGATGTCCATCCAAAGTGTTTTCGCGGTCATCTTAAACAGGGTTTCTTTCGATTAGTCTTCTGCCAAGCTCCCACAGTACACCGATGAGTGAAATACTGGTGATGGTAATTAGCGGGTAAAAAGATGAAGGTAGATTCGGAAACCCGGCCTACAATGCAAAACACTTTTGACTGACTTGTCTACTTGATGACGTTGTTGCCTAACATTGACATACCGAAGACGGAAAAACTGGATACTTGAATGGAATCCTAGGAAACTTCACGGGTTGCAATGTTCTTGCATCCTGTGGTCTCTGAAGCCGGAGAACCTTATAGGATCATATACTACTGTAACAATGATTGAATCACTGGCTGAACTTCGGAATTCATTCCGGCGCCATCTCAAAAGCACGCTTTCAAAATCCCTTAATCTCAGCAATCCAGCCACGTCTACCAGTTCAACTGGTGCGCGGGTGAGTCATTTGTCTGACGGTTCGCATCCCTCAGACCCCCCACATATACTCGCAAGGAACAGCGAATACCACATCAATTTTTATTCGTACATCGCCCAATATGGGAAACACTGAATCAGGTGACGGCCGTGCTGTGCGGCGACGCAACGACAGGCGGTTGGCTGTTGTTTCCTCCGTGAGGGGGGGGGGGTGGGGCGCATGCGCATGATGTCCTCTAAGCGCCGAAGCCAGATCGAGAACTGGACTCCATTCTCGGTTGGACCAGTGAAGGGGGTGATTCGGGATTGGTAATCAGGTTGGAACATAGCCACCGACGGCAGTGAGTCGAGGCGTCGGCCCACCACCGCGAAGGACTCGCTGAGCTTTTCCTTGAGGGCCTCGTTGTTTTCATTGATCCTACGGGTCAGCAGCGCGGTAGAGGCGCAGGAATCATTCCAGACTTGTGTTAACGCCGATGTTGTAGCGTCGCGAATCAGCTTGGCGTCCCGGCCGAGAAGAGGAGTATCGTCTGAGTAGTCGTCGAACAAGTCGAATACGGCCCCAGGGAAGGGTTCCGGCTTGGCGGACTTAGTGTCAGACGGTTGGGCAGAAGCCCAACAGTAAACCGGAACGATGCCGACTTGGCCATGCTACGAGTACGGGCATACGACGATCGAACAAGATATGAATCGTTCACCGCGCTGACCAGCGAATTACATACAATAGAGACCGAGAGCGCGGCTCGGGGGCGCGGACCTTGGAAATTGACCGGGCCGGGGTGGTATGCGAATCCCCCACTCGCACGCCAGACGGGGGCACACGACCACACATCACTCTCCTTCGGTAAGCATCGTTGGATCACGACAATGTTTGGTGGGATAAAGAGTTACAGCCATGTTGAAGGAACGTCCATCGCTATGTTATGGGAAGAAAGCTGCGGGGTACGGTAGTAGGGAAAACAAAGAAAGGCATGCCTGGGAAAAGTTGTTTGCCGCGCCACGGCAGCCATAGTTACATACCGAGAGAGATGGAAGTGGAGATAAGGCTAAAAGCGCGACCATCAACATGCGCAAGAGCTAGGAGAGCCTCATAATGCTTGACTGAGAGTCAGCCCGAATCGAAATGTGTGAATTCTGCCGTTGTGGCGCAAAAGAAGAGAAAACAAGGAAGGGAAACTGTTGAACGAAAAGAGCGCTCGCAAGTGACGGCGCATTGACCTGCTAGACTTACCAGAAGAAAAACAACACGTTATGAGGATCCCCGCAGTCGTCCCTGGGTACTGGAACTAAGGTAACTAGGACAGGATACGATGTATTCGTATTGGTCGCTTAAGAGGGGAAGAGATCTTTTTCCTGGAACCCTTAAAAGAGAAAAGAAGATAAAAAATATTTTTGTGGAACAAAGGCAAAAAAAACATCTAACTCACCTGTTCATGTGAACCGTTCTACACAAAATTGGCACCAAATTGATCTAAAGCGACCCAAATCCCAGTCGCTTACCTGCAAACCTCAACCCGGGGAGCTTACCATGATATCAAACGCTTGAAGCTAAAGGGGCCCTGCCCCTAGTGATCACTTCACAAAATGAATCCTAACTGAATTCGTAAAAAGTATTCAAAGTCCAACAAAAGAACCTTAAGGAATCCTACCTAACTAAGGAAGAACACACCAAAAAAAAGGAAAAAAAAACAAGGAAAATATTCCTGTTCCGCCGCGGCGCCGGTCGCGACGGAAGAGGCAGCCCCTTCAAAAGAACCCACGAAAAACTAAGGCGAAGCAACACCGTGCGTCTTCGCCGACGTATAAAAACCAAAAGAAAAAATAAGGTTCCATAATCGAACGCCATGAGAAGTTCCTACTTACCGCCAAACTCTGGCCCGCAACTCGCCACCACGAAGGAGAAGAGAAAAAAAATTGCTAATTGTGAGGAGTAGTGCTGGCGAGGGACTGCACTCCTGTCAATGCTTCGAAGAGCCCTTACAGGAGAGCCATCCGGCCATTATCTATAGTGTCAGAAAGATGCTCAAAAGAGCAGAAAATAAACTACCAAAAGAGAAAAAGAAAAAACGGCTAATTACTTCTAGACAGAAACAGGTCAAGAAAAACTTATCAAATTTAAAAAAAAGGAGAATGCCAAAGAATACTTACTTTGAAAAAAGCGAAGCCAAAGGAGAAGCCTTGCCTGAAGTCCGTCGTCGGGTGGGTCCACTCGCTGCTACCAGTCATAGGTCTGAGGGTTCCATCCCTCAGACCTCCCCAATACTACTGCAGAACAGCGAATACCACTCAATCTTTATTCGTACACCCCAATATGGGGAAACAGCTGAATAAGGTGACGGCGTGCTGGCGGCGACGGCACGACAGACGGGTGGCCGCATCCGGTCGTGCGGCTGGCGGTGGCAGGCGAAGACCTCGTATGAGTCACACGGCATCTTATATATCCGGCGCGCACGTGGGCGAATCCTGCAATGACGAAGCTTAAGCAAAGTCACTGTTCAGCTTACCATTAAGTTCCCATCTACTAGACAACCCAGAGGCTTACAGGTGTATTACTGATTTCTCTGGATGTGTGCTTAGATGGCTCGCTTTCGGAACTCTCATGTGGTGGACTTTCGGGAGCCTGAGTTATACTACTGAAGCCTGAGTAATCACCAAAGTTTGATATTACTCTTTCCACCACATCTACAACAAACCTCGTACTTAACTCGATCCATGCTTCTGGTCCTCCGCGGCTGAATTCGGGGTCACATCGGCACCGTTCGGAAAAAAAGCTGTCAGAACGGCTCGCTGTGAGCGATTCAGTCGCGTCTCCCAGCTCTGTTGGCGTTTCTCGTTCCCGTCTCTTATGGAGCATACAAAGCAGCTTATTTTTTCGCTGTCTCACCATTAAAGCACTATTCTTCAGAGGTAGTGCTCGTGGTAAGCAACTCAAAGAGGCAGCTGCCGCTGTCTCAATCGTACTGCTGGTTCCGAGGCAGCTACCTAAGACTTTTCTCCCCCCCCCCCTGGGATGGGTGGTCAGTCTGAAGCCGGTAACAGTTGATGAGAAAGTTGCTCCAATTCACGCCCCTTCACACCCCTCCTCGTACGTAAGACACCAGCCGTAGTTTGTGGTGTTTGATTGGTGAAAAATGGTGCAGATGATGCACTTGCAAGAGCTCGCTCACGCATGTTCGGGGGGGTGAATTTTTGGTCGGATAGGTCTACAAACGATTTGATTCCTCAGATTGTCCAACCCGAACGCTCCAATCACGAAATAGACGCGCTTGATGAGCGCTCTGAGCCAGAAATATTCCAGTCAACGGCCCTACTGTCATGAAGCCTAGAGGATAAAGTCTTCGCCATTGATCAATCCCTTTTATAGCGCACCATTCTACTTCCATTTAAAATCGTAATGACTTGTTGAATGCGATGCGGCCTATACAGTGACTTCCAGACGGTCCAGACTATGTTCAAGTCATTGTTCTCATACTTCCGGTACCTTAGCGTCTCCGAATGGATTCGCCATGTCCGGCTTTCGATGAACCTCGGCATAATCGTTGACTATTTATTTGCTTTCAAACTTCACACGAGGTAGATATACACACTGAACGGCTAACGTTTCGACACGATTGCCTTCTTCGGAGCCTGGAAGTGGAAATCAATTTATGATTTAGACGACCAAATGTCATACTACCCTACGAGACCTTCGAGACCCCTAGCCCATCACATAATTAATAGGGAAAACCAAGTACCGTACCTTTGAGACCACGAGATCAGCCGTTGTTCGACGATATGGTGGTTTGTCGCCCGTGATCGTATCCAGGTTCCGGTAGGAAAGCTAACCTTATATAGGGGGTTAGCTCGCGCGTAATTGACACGCATTCTCCCCTGCGGTTCATTTTTGGATTCGTGACCCGAATCCAGAATGCCTCCAGGGTTTTGCGCGCGGATGTTTGAGTTGCATACGCAAGGATATTGACCGTGACCTCAAAATCCTCTCCGTTATGACTTTCGACCCTGTGGCAACCAAGGGCTGTCGAGGTACGCGACCTGGCCTTCCATCCAAATGCTCCCTAACCCGCACAAACAGAGGTCTAGCCGTCTCACCTATATATTTCGTCTCCACATTTTTGGCATGAAATTTTGTAGACCACCCCTGTAATCGCACAGTCACCGGGTCTGCCAGTGGGACAGACTACGCAGTTCGCTGTTTCACATGTGCGATCGTAGAGACGATTCCGAATGAGACGTCGCTTCAGGTTGTCGGGAGGGACCTCCACTATCGCAACAGTATCAGAGTTGGTAAAAGGATTGGTTGGCGTGGAGGGAGCCGACCCATGAATTGATCCCCTGACCGCGCCTCGTAAGCAGGCCACTTGCCGACACACCTCCGCCGCCTCCACTGGCATGAGAAAAATAAAACAACAAACAGCAAGGAGGTAGGTTCATGCAAAACAGCACTACTATAAAAACAGTTTGCTACTTTATAGGGATTTCTAACATTTACAAATTAGAGAAAAAACACATGAAGCTATCGTAGGGGATGCGGGACTATCACACTTACGGTCAGTTACAGAACGAATAAGAAAACAAGAGGTACCGCTGCAATTCAAAAGAGCAAGAACAACACTGAAACCAGAGGCATCCGTCCACATGGTGGGCTACGACTATCGATCAGAGCTGTTGGTGGCCTTCACAGATGGACGTAGATCAGACGTAGAACAGTCCTGTGATTTTAATTGCTGCTGACAGGATAAACACCGACTTTATCACCAGAAAAGGGAGTCTTCGCGCACGAGGGAGGAACCGAGGGGAGTTTCGTTCGCTGCGAATGAAGGGGCGTGTCCGACGGGATGGGTTTAGCGCGGCGCAAAGCCCTTTACTAGTAGTTCAAACAAGAAAGCCACAGGACTGTATCGTATCGTTTGTATCAGCCTTTTTCCCTTTTTCTGTGGTCGCTTACCCACTTCAACAAGTGGTGGAGAATTGGTTGGCGCCGCGCAACCCATCCCGCCTGACACGCCCTATCATCAGCAGCGAAGATTATACTGTTGAGTTGAGAATCAAATTTTCAAATAACGTGAATCACACCGTAGAAGGGCCTTCATGATCGCTAAAGAGGGTACATAAGCGAGATGCTAATCGCCTTAGAGGAGAGGGGGAGGTGGCAGAACATCTGACTAGTCCGCTAGTTTCCTCACGTTGATGGGTACTGTGAACTTTTGGAAGCATACGAATCGGTATGGCCTTTATTACGTAGGGTTCGCCTGTGCTAGCTTCGCTGAATGCCAAGCCATAGATCCACAGGGACTCAGGGGTTTACGGGCTTCCATGTATGGCAAAGATGCCCATGCTAAAGGGATAGTGCTGAAAATGTGGCATCCACTCCCCCCCCCCCTTCAAAAGACCACAGCATCTCCTTACTGTTGTCCACCCTGTGTGGTGTTGCGTTTAACATTGCCTATTTAGCAACCTCATATTATTGTCATTATATATTGTCATTATATCTTACAAATTATTCAAATCCAACTTAGTTGGCAAGTTTAATATTTATTGAACTAAATTAATATCATAGGATAAAATCTACTATCACATTCACGGTCAAGTAACGAAGTGTCAAGTGCATGAATTCAACAAAATAGTGAAAACATAAAACTAACAATGTCATTACATCGAAACGAGTCGCATATTTGTTAATGCCTTTTTACAAAACAAATGGTTAAATCGTATTGATTACTTACCACAAAACTGCTAATAGGTCCCACAACATAAGGGTGTAGCGCAGCATACCAACGGCCGCAACATCGCGCACGAAATCGTAGCATTCATAGGCTAGTTGATCCAACACGGTGCTTTGGCATTAAATCAATTAAGATCATGGCAGTCTACGTCCTACACCGTTTACTTCACGGTACTATTTCAGAAAATTTGAGAATCGGTATGAATTGATTGAATTTCTTTCATTTCGGAAGACTGTTAGGTAACGAACGCTATCTGTCATACATCTACAAAACGGAACCGAAAAAAGCATTTTAACGACCGACGGATTTTTTTTTCGAAAAAAAATGCGGCAAAATAAGGGATACGGGTGTAGACTGCGATGAGCTGATCGATATGACGGTAAAATGGTAACCAGACAAGAGTGCTGGTTTGAGCGCGATTGCACGTCTCGCAGGTGTTGAGCTACACCCACATATACCACCCTCTGTGCATTCCAAAGGGCAGCTCAGGCGTAGCTGTGATTATTGCAGGGCACAGACGGAAGAGAGACAGAGACGTAGGTACAAGAGAGGAAAGTTGACACCCGAATGCGCAGCTGTCACTGTAACGCCCGATATCGCCCTTAGATAAGCACTGTGAATGAGGTAATTATTAGTCATGGAACATTCCACAATAAAAAGCCTACTTAAGAAAACAACTTCTGAAAAAATACAACTTGTATGGCAACGATTCTCTCAGTAAACAAAAACCTAGCAATGATAACCGTCTTTTCTAAATATGGAATGGAATTGCAGCGGAAGTTCCATCAAGTGAAACTATAGTAATTTCGAAGATTATTTAGGGGATACGGCACCAAACTTTCGTCTAGTCCACTGACGGCTCTATAAGGGATAAAACTCCACCAACTAAATGAAGGCTTCCTGTAACCAACACATCCAGTGTTGCCGTTTCGGATAAACGTTCAATGTACTCAATAGTGGCAGTTATGCAATCAAAGACCGAAACCTCCTGAATGGAACTATATTTCTTTCGAATAATATACTTAATCAAAAGGACAATCAAATCAAGGATATCATGCAAATGTACCCCTGTTCCGATTTCCTTCCAAACGGCAGCGCATTGTTGACTGCGAATCATTTGGTCTTTTGGTGCTTGATTGATGTTAGTCAGGTCAGACTTCAAATCAGGTGACACTTTCAACGCTGTTGGGCAGAACAACGCAAAGTCAAAGGAATGCTCCTGAAAATGAACTCTTATCACTCCTGACACAGACACATTACTATGTTCTCCAAAAACCGGTTTGGGCGCGGTTCGGCTTGAAGGGGACATTTTGCACTTCCGCTACTTCCTCATGTTGGTTCGTGCTTACAAAAAGGCCTCCCCATAACGAGATCTGCAAAATCTTGGGATGTTGAAAAATAGTGTGAGTAACCACTTTTTTCACAGGAATTCAAGGTTTTTTCGAGTCATCTGGCGCCCCCATAGAGCCGAACTGCGCTGCAGTTTGATAACCATACGACCTCCACTTAGTCCATGGAGGTCGTATACTTCAGCCATTCGGATGAACAGCAATTCGATAAACAGATGAACAGCAATTCGATAAACG